TACAAATCGTGTGCAGACCGAATTGCAACGCCACACTTCGCATCATCATAGAACAGAGTATAGAATGGCAGTCAACTCAACTCTACCTCAACTTTATCGACTTTGAAAAGGCCTTTGACAGCGTCAACCGAGAAGTAATTTGGTAGTTGCTTCAACATCACGGAATACCACAAACCTTTATCAATCTCATTCAACAACTATATGAAAACGCCTCATGCCAGCCAAGTAATTCACAATGGGAAGGTCAGTTATGCTTTTGAAGTGAAGGCAGGAGTAAACCAAGGCTACCTACTATCACCCATGATATTCCTGATTGCGGTCGACTGGATCATGCTACAAACAGTGAGGAGCGAGAAGAGGGAGGATACACTGGACCGGGGAAAAGAATCTAGAAGACTTGGATTTCGCCGCCGATGACTTGTGTCTGATGTCACACAAACTTGGAGATCTACAGACGAAAACTAACAAGTTGGCAGAAGAGGCAGGGCAGGGCAGGGCAGCGAAGACGGGTCTTCAAGTGAAAGTAGAGAAGACAGAGGTGATGAAGATACCCAACCAACAACATCAACAAACTCCAATCACCATCAACGGGAGAAACTTAAAGGAAGTAGCCTCCTTCACCTATCTAGGCAGCACTGTTTCAACTGCAGGCGGCACAGACGAGGACGTCAAAGCCAGCCAGGATCGGAAAAGCAAGACAGGTGTTCGTTCGCCTTAAACCAGTGTGGAGATCCTCTGCACTGCACTCAGCATGTGGAACAAGACCCGAATTTTCAACACAAACGTCAAGTCAGTGCTTCTGTTTGATGGTTGAGAGACTTGGCGGGTTACGAAAGGGATTTCCAACAAACTACAGACATTCATCGACAACTGCATATGCTGGCTCGTTACTGAAGCTCAGATGGCCAGAATAATGAGAATGAGCAACAAGGAACTCTGGCTGGCTGGTAACGAACCAACCAAGAACCTATCGCTGAACAAGTGTGCAGAAGGAAGTGGAGATGGATTGGGCATGCACTGAGAAGACCGACTGGGGACATCACGCGCCAGGCCTTCGAGTGGAACCGAGATGGGAAGCGACGAGTTTGGCGTCTGAGGTAATCAGTGAATAATTATCCGTTGTTTGTAAATTCAGAATGTTAGCCCCATCAGGCCATTTCTGAACTGAATAACATAAGCATAGTTAGCATCTGTAAACATTCTCCAGACATATTTTATACGTAGGTGAAGAAAGGATTATTTGTGTTTTTGCCGACAGAAATGTCATTATAGGTAGTAGAGAGAATCCAAAGAAGTGTTAACACGATAAACAGTCTGGATAAAATTATGGGAACCAATTAGGAATATTTTCTGCCTTTGCCCTACAAATCAGTTTGCTGGTTGTAAACTAAAATTTTTAAGAAAATTGAAAGATTCTGTTATGCCACAAAGAGTCTTGATTCTCTTCCTTTCATAGTCAGACTAAAATAGGTAAACAAATCTTCAATGCTGGGAAGCGACGAGTTTGGCGTCCGAGGCAAGGGTGACATGGAGGATATCGTGTGAGGAGGAAGTGAGAGCTTCTGGGCTGTTGTGGAGGCAGGTTCAAAAGATTTCAGTGAGCAGAGTTCACTGGAAACGTGCTACTGAAGCCCTATGTTCCATTAGGAACCCAAGTGACAAATAATGTGATGATCAATAATGGAATTAGTGTCGCCCTTCAGTTTCCTAATTACTTATTGCAGCTTTATTTTTAGTGGAAATTCTATTACTTTATAAAAATCCTAAATTCACGTACCCAGCCCTCTCCCAAGAACGCTTAGAACTGTTTTGACTTAGTTTAATTGTAATTAGAGTGTGAATTTTCTACTTATGCCTCTCAGTCGAGTCACACTGTATGCCTAGCGGCAGTGTTCTGATAGTTATTTCCTAACTCTGGCTCCTCTGTCGCTAAGCCTACGATGGCACACTGATTTTGTTATTTAAGTAACGTTCTCGTCTGCATTTGTCATACGTTCCTCTGATCTTTTGGAAAGGGTTGTTACCCTTTGTGTGTATATGACATTAAGTGAAAAGGACTGGTTTCCACGCATGATGATAAGAAAGACTCAAATACAGAAATGTTATGTATTACCTTACACTCCAAACGGGAAAAAACTAGTTTTAGGGCAAAAAAGAGCATTTCCTATTCATTTCTAATTTTTGTCTGTTTATTCAGTAAAAACTATCAGTAAAGCAGTTTGCACAATCCTATTGTGTCATATAATAATGAAAATTCTGCAAATATTCTTAAACACGTTGAATTGACCACCAGCATTTCTGATGAAAAATGTACTGTAGATGCAGTTATTCCTGATTTTGTGGTTATTTGGTATTTATGTGGAAAAGCACTCTCGAAGAAGTTTTCGGATGTTTAGTTTATTAACATAAAAAGCAGTTTAGATTATTGTGTTTTTTTCTGAGTGTAGATTTAATGATGGATGGATATTGACTACTTTTTGAAAAAACTCACAGCATAGTTGAAAAGTAATATTCCTACTAAACAAGTAATAAAAGCAACTGGGAATACAAAACTTATGCAGCTTTCGGGAAAGATGAGAGGATGAAAGTTCACTAAATACTACGTCAATAAAAATCGGATAACTGTCTCCTTTTAAACATACAGTTCCAGTTGAACTTACTGGATAGTAATAGCCTCGGCAATTAGAAGCAAACACGAGGTCTTTCGTTTGTTGGCTACTTTGGAGGACTTCATCGCATCTATGTGATGTCTTGTATCACATAAACGATGAACTATTACACCGTTAAACCTTTCAGATGCAGACTGCCTGGTATGTCCTCATCAATATTTTTAATGCCCTTATGCAGTTAACTATTGTTTAGTAAAATGTTTAGTTTCTAACTTTATTGCCGAACGATATTAAACTGCAGCGGATTTGGCTTCAAAGTAACACCGATGTTATCAGTCAGTCAGTACCAACATGGAACCTGGTATTATGACTTGATAGTACAAGCTACCACGTCTCATATCAGGGCACAAAAGTCGAGGATGTCAAGATGGAAGATAGAGATAAAGGGAGGACAATAACCAGAAGCAGACTAAAGTTATGGCAAGAGAAGAAGAAGGAATAAAACAATGACCAAATAGGATATGACTATTAAGATGCAGGTAACAACTGGATGCATCTAGAACACTGATAGATTCTGAGCTATATTACATCATTTCTATGATGTAGCCTTCTGATGAATATGATTTCTACTGTTGAAACTTAGAAAAAAAGTGATAACTATGCTCTAGTGCTCTATTTCGGTGCATGAGTACAAAAAAATAAATGACTTAATTAAGGAAGAGAGGATACTGTGGTACTTATACGATGAAGTCGCAATTAGATACAGTAATGTATCTTCAGAGGCTGAACCTATTTAATTTTGATTGAAATAAAAGCAATAAGCTTTTGCCTACAAAGTGGTTTTTGCTGTCTAAAATCTATTGACGTAACACCTAAGTTAGAGAAACCTGATCCAAATTCTCAACAGTTATTTTACTTTTCCGAAGTTAAAGTTTTCAGGAATTTTCAAACTTAAACAACCAAGATGTTTACACTGCACAAAATATAGAGTTTATCATCATAAGTTTCAGAGAAGATCAAACTGAAATCTCAGAAATAGGTTCCCTTGAGTTTTATTGCCTTGAATTGAATTTTAAGTTCTGTACACAGTTTGAAGTTAGCAAACAGCTTCAGGCTCATAATAGTTTCATGACTGAAGAGTTTTAAAGTTGCAGCGAAATAAGTTAAGCTAATCTACTACACGTATTCAAATGGAATCAGTATCATGTGACTGTTAAAGGAAGTAACACTTTGAAAAAGTAAGACATGCACCTGAATACTTTTTATTTAGGGTCTTCAAGTTTATTGGGTAATAAATTTTGAATGCAAGTCGACATTTTGTTGAAGAGTGTAAGTGGATACCATGAAATACCAATAAAACAAAAATATTCCTACTACTGTGTGTTATTCCATTTATATGTTGTTTTCACAGCCAAATAGATGAGCATTGCAAAGCGAGAAATTATTTTGAAAAGCTAATACGTAAGGTAAGACGGAAATTCCAATCAAGCGGAATGAAACATTACATCTATAAACATCATCTTGTAAGATGACTAGTAATCTAGAAGATTATTGATACAATTTTGTACTTAAGACAGTCATAGTAAAGATTTACGATGACATTTAAACAAAGTATCGTAACATTATACACCAAAGTATACTAAACTGTGTACTCATTAACAAATAATAATAATACGCAGCAGGTCAATAAGTCAGCAAAATGTATAAAGTGTTTTAGACAAATCTAATGCGAGACATGCGTTCATCTTAATTCATAAGACTTTCATCTCTATAATACAGACAGGTGCTGTGTGTGACGTTGCTAGCATCTTTCCATAATATACCAATATTCTGGCACCATATTATAGCCGCAATATATGTGGTAAATTTCTTTGCAAATACATCACAAAGCTTTATTGGTCAAAAAACTCAAATATCTACAACTCGGGGGACTGTTGTTTATAATATGGTGGACTGATTGAAAACTTGGCTTATGGTAGAATTCAAAACCTATTGAATGGCTGCTCATCGTGCTTTAAAATGATAGCCAAGCCAAACCTTCTGTGAGTGAAGTAAATTTAAAACGAGGTCAACAGCTAGGTCTTGTACATCGTTTAGCAGAGGATTGGATGAATAATCTGAAGGTTACTAGTCTAACTCCTGTTATGACTCTGGTGTTTTTTTACTTTTATTTATAAACCTCTTCCTGAAGGAGAGGATGTTTCAATCTCTATAAAAATACTCAGTTTATTACTGCCTTCAGGTCATTTCATAGTAAACAATTAAATTTATTCCTCATAACTAAACGCAAAATGTCATAAATTTTGTTACTGCCAGTAAGAGGCTAAACCTTGTGAACAGACAATAAAGTCATTGTAAAAAAAATTAAAATCTGAAGACTATTCACAATACCTGCTGAATGTTCACTTGATTTATTGATAAATTGTCTAGGATCATAGGCTTTCCGACGCTGCCAGCTAAGCGCAGCTAGCACTTTATTATTTCTAACTGAATCTGAACCTGATTGTCTGGAGCTTTCAGGTGTGGACGAAATCGTTAGGTGATTACTAGAAGCAGTAGGACGACCATTGCTGACTGTTTTTTGGGAAATGAATTGCTTCATGGACTTGTCCATTGACACTGGAGGATTACATGAAATATGCGATAGTCTACTGAAGACAGGAAAAAAATAAAGCTTAGTTGTGAAATAGAAAACTATGAAATAAGATATACTAGTGTGAATTGCATAAGGTGTTCGAGGTATCTGTTATGCTCACAGGGGACGGGATGGAACAAAGATGTATTAAATCAATAATCTATGCTGCTTGGGTCAGTCGGATGCCGAAAATCTAGTGAGAGATTTAGTAGGACTAATCTGTCCGGATCCTGTTTCTGATGACCTTATATATTCCCATAAAATTTCAATGTAAACTGCATCACAAAAAAATCAGCTCATACAATAAATTGATACTTCAAAAGATTGAACGCAGAGTTATCAGTCTCATAAAACTTCTGTCACAAACAACCTAAGCCCGTATGCCTAAGTACTTTCTTTGAGTCATTATAGAAGAAAGACTTTAGCGAACAAACTTGTTTTTGGCAAAAACATTCTCCGAAGGTGTACAGTCACATTTAAATATAGTGTGAACATTTGTCGATAAAAGTGTTAACATTTATCAGTCAGTAATCCTTGGTAGGTTTTGGTCTGGAAAGTGATACACAAATGGAAGTTACGTAAGAAACATAAAAATATTTGACAATGTAAATAATTCAGTTTGAGTTGAAATCAGGAGTTGAATAAAGAGTAATAGAGTGGTTGAACTTTAATCATTGCGGAAGAGAAAGAAAAATTATCAGCGTTTAGGTTAAGGGCACAGACAAATTATCTAACGTCAACACCAACACTCCAGCCTGGGTTATTAAAGGTCATAGGTAAAGGTGAGCCGATCAGTAACTCCATATTACAGAATTTTCAAGTCAAACTAACCTCTTCAGTTGTCATATTGTTATTATGCAAGCGTTTTTAGCTGAATTTCGAATTTTTCTTTCTCATTCACACTGACCTAAGTTTATTCACTCTGTTGTAACCCATTCAGTTCATGATTTCAACTCAAACTGAATCATTCACATCCCCAAATATTTTTATATTGCTTGCGTAACTTCCACTTATGTGTTTCTTTTCCAATCACAACCTATCAAGAATTATTCGCTGGTTGATGTTAACATTTTTTATCGATAAATGCGCACACTATATTTAAATGTCGATAAACCAAGAAGGACGAAATGTGATTGTACAGCTCCCAAGAATGACTTCGCCAAAAACACGTGTGTTCACTGAACTTTTTTCCTTTGAGTTTAGTGGCTCATTAGAGCCAAATACAGAAAATTCGGAAAACGTAGGTCAAGATTGTTATATGAAAATATATCACTCAACTAATTTGTGAGATATAGCATCCTGTTGATATCTTTTGTTGTCAAACGGTTAAGTTTAACTTACTTTGGGTAATTACGTCGTGTTTCGGATGCATTTCTCAGTGGTACTGAAGAATGTTCACATGGATGCGAAGACGAATTCTTTCCACATCGAGGTATTGGCTGTTGAGACTGTGGTCGACTAGCCATAACAGGCTGACCGATTCTACGTGATCTGGTACTTCTTTGTTCAGAAGTATCATTAGATCCGTTAACGCCCCTTTTTAGTTTTTCTACATCACAGCTGTCTGGCTTTGATCTGTCTTGTCGTCTTTGCAAAATAGCGGATAGGCGCTTATTAACAGCTGAACCAATTAACTGATCAGCATTATTTAGGGCTTTCGCTACTTCATAATCTTCAGGGGATCCATTCATGTTACTGGTTACAGTAGACCACTGTGCTTGGCAAGTTCCCTTCTCAGATTTGTTGTTTGCCATCTTCTGTTCCAATTGCTACAATTTAAAATGATCATTTACATTGGAGTTTACGTAAACCAGAACAAATTATTCAAATAACAAGATGTTAGCCAACAGTCTCTGGAACATCTATGAAAATCCAGTCAACTGAACCGTTTGATGGAGTGCCCACAAAACGCCAAGATCAGATGGATTATTATGTGAAAAATTGTAATTAGGTTATTCTGAAGAACCGGACTTAATAATAATCAGTAGTAGTTGGTAATAAATATGAACCAGATCAGTCAATCTCTTTGTGCTGAAAAGTTATCTCAGCCAGTATGGAATAGGATCCTTTGAGTTTTTCAATGAAGCAGGTGTAGATAAATTTATTAGAGCTTTGTAGTTGAAAGTTGAATACAATTGAGAAACAAGTGAAAATCCTAATGAGTAAAACAGCTGTTTACCATAATACAAGGAAATACTTAATGGCTTCAAATCTAACCTAACTAGAATGCTAACTGACCAGCAAGAAAGTTCCAATGAGGAAAAAATCCGATTGCATGTTGTCAACCAATGATGATAATGCTCACTGCATTTGCAAAGAGTAATTTTTTGCTTTTATCCAGAGGCAAATAAGGTTAAAATTTGATTGACTTCGGCTAGAACCGTTATGTTTAATAGTTAAAAAGCAGAAAACAATTGATGTCTGGTACACACTTATAATTAACACTCTGCTAACTAGTTCCAATCTTTTATAGAAAGACAGTAGTACTACTTCCAGTATAATGCATCTGAAAAACTGAAACAATTGGGCAATAATTTTATGCACTTCAGGATCAAAATTTGAACTAATAGAGTTGAGTACGTTGAAGACTTGTTAAATGAATTATAAATGAAATATATCTATAAAATCCTAGTAAGGAAGAAAAATACATTTCTGATGTTTCGTGACTTCATGAAAACTGCTTCTTCGGAGATTATCCGAATTCATGAAACGTCAGAAATTTATCTTGCCGCCTCATTTACAAACATATTTTATTCATTATAAGATAACAAGCAGTGAATTTGTTTGAAACGTACTGAGACCAATTTTTGTGTATCAAATAAATAATCATCCAATTTTTCGAATGATAATAATTCTGTCATTTTTAGAGGACGATGTGATTTATTATCTCTTGCCGAACCATTAGTAATGTTGAATCTCAGGCCAATTTCTGTATTAGGCATAACAGTATGTGGTAGGCGAGGACGAGTGAATGTTCCATTTCCAACTGGATGTCCATCCAAGTCATGAACATGTCCACCTAAAGCAAAAATGATAAAAAATCGGAAATGAAAGTTACAGCAAATAGACTAGGCATAAGTTTTAAATCACGAGAACTGATTTCAGAGTAAAGTTTACACGAAATTTTCAACTTTTACTTCGTACTGTTGTATGAAGGCAGTGACTATCAATAGATTTATCCAATAATGAATGCTAAAATGTAACTAAATAAACCTCCAGTTTTGGTTTCAAACCTGAAAGCTTACTGTTTGTATTGGTGACTTCAGCTATTTTCCAATAAGGCCTAATATATTTAGACATAATTTTTCGCTGTAATGGTTTATATAGATTAACGAGTACTTAATTTAAACACAACTGCGTTTGCAAACTTGTAACTGATCTTTTCGAAGTAAGTCGTCATCTTGACTGGAGATCAGAACAAGAATTAAACATCACTGCTATGATGGAAAGTTCATCCATCGTTAGAAGTTATGAAAATTACACTATCTTTGCAACTCTCCAATTCACCTTCCACATTATTATTATGAGGAAATCAACCATTCTTGTTAAATTAGCCTTCAAATGCATACTACAACTGAGCAGGAAGAAAAATCTACCTGAATTTTCATCTCATTAGAAGTAATTTCAGAAGACGTTTGGTGACATCCGACAAAGATGTTTCTAAGTCTTCCCATCAAAAACCAAGTCTATCATATCCACTACTTCTGTCTGGAATTGATTATTGTGCATCGCTATACCTAAGCTATAGATGGCTTTGTAGCTTTCAGTTTCTGATTGTTAATTGGACTAAATTGATTGGCGACTAGTGGCATATAGGCTACTACCCATCATCAATAAGTTATAAATTATTGAAAGTTCAAGTAGGATGACTTCGGGAGGTTCTAGACTCTTCATAAGACGCCACTCGTACCTTCTCACTCCGATACTTTTTCGGTAAGCATCTTAGCCCGATTGTTATTGAAATACTCTTGTCTTCTTGAGAATTTTCGTCATGTGGTTCATGAATGTATTGTATATTTTATTCAATATAGATACTAGTTAATGATTATGGAAAAGGGTTTTCATAATCTTTTATCGATAAATTACATTCGATGACCTTTTGGTCATCATGATTGTTTGATTTCCCTCCAAGTTTATCTACTTGCTTTCACAGCTTCTAACCTAGATTTGACGTTCACCTCAATAGTTATTTTATGAGAAAATGAATCTGTGTATCTTTGACGAAGACTATGGATTCATAAGTGAAGTTTCTCACATACTGATGACTGACTCTTGGTGGACGTTTGAGTTACTGGACCTTTAATTATTTATTTTAGGTATACTTTGCCAAGACATTGTCATTTAGCTTAGCACTATCCGATACATAAAATCACAATAGTTATTTTGCCTGAAAAACAAATAGTTTGCTAATATGTTTGCCAAATTTGTTTTCAATCAGGATCAGTTTTTTCTATTTTTTTTCATCAAATGATTTCAAAACTGTTTGACTGTTGAAATGTATACATTAATTGAACTGGTTTCTGTGTATTGCTTCAAGAGCCTTAAGCGTTTGAGTTTTTGTTAATTGTCTTTCATTCTATCTCATTTTGAATGCATTCTAATAGTTATCAAGGTTAAAACAGTCATTTCTGTATTTACTTTTCTTTTTCAATTCTTTTCTGGATTCTAATACGAACAAGTAATGCCAAAGCATCAGTTATCTGAGATAATGTATTTGCACGTTATTCTTTCTTCAGTCGTATTCATAGCCATATATGGAACAAATATTATGTAGATTATTAGAATCACGTATCAAGTTTACTTGATAAAATTATTAGGAATATAGCCATGTATAATCTCCAGCTACTTCAGTACATTTGCGTTAATCACTTATAACTAGTGTAAAGATTAGTAAATTTTTATGGAGAATAACAATGAAGGGAAGCAAGTCTGGGAAGTTCACACAGATTCTTTTACTGGTTATCATGGATTAAACAGAAAGTGAATGTTATGTATACTAAAAGTTCAAGTGAGTGAACTTACCAGAATTCGATGGTGCATTATTAAACACACCAGAATCGTAGGTTTTCTCCGAGTGCCTTAGGTCCAAGTTCCTATCCAACAGTTCACTTGTACTTTCCATAGTATATGTATGTCTACTGCTGTCTGTGCTACTACTATTACCACTACTTTCGCTTAACTTCAAAATAGAATTTTGTTTGTCAAAGTATGCCAGGGAGTGATGATCAAGTAAATTATCATCATCATCAGAAGAATCTTGAGAAAGTTCTTGCAGACCTTCAGCGGCACTATTCAGTAAATTGTTAGATATCTTGGTTCGAGCTCTGCTACTGAGGTTAGATTTCGTCTGTTTTCTTCTAGTGATGGACGTTTTAACAGCAGATAAATCACTCTTTGGTTTTTTTAACAAATCCAAGTCGGAATTTTCAAATAAACTACTTATATTAACAGGCTTAAACTGACTTTTGCTAAAATGTTGATCACTTGGACACCGGGAAAAACTGGGTTTATTTGAAATAGAAGTATTTTCACGATTTGAAAGTGAAGTTTGCCGATTAATTGAAGGAGTTCTGAATGGTTCAAGGTCTGAGGAAAGTGTCTTTGATGCAATTGTATGAGTCAGTGGGTCTACAAAAAAGCAGAGCAAACAATTAGGTTTTTAAAAACAGATCTCTAGAATATTTTTTGGTTTTATGAACATCTAGGCCATAGTTGTTACCAAGGTTTTCATAGAAATTGAGTGCCGAATCTGGTTTGATCATTATGATTACATACTTCTGAAGAAGCTATGGTTAACACATTAAGATATTCTTAAAATATTGCCTTTATTTTCTAAACACCCTAGAATTATACCAAAATGTACTCTTGGTTGGATTTTCTGTAAAGCTGTTCCGATACCACATTTCCCGACATGCAAACAGGATTTTTATATTTTACTCACAGAATACTACCAATAGAAGTCGTAAGTGAAACTAACTGTTCTGGAACTGTCAGTAGTATAAAAGCCTAAAATTCTGACTTTTCCATTTTTCGAGCAGACAGGAAGTGGAAGTGAAATGGGTTCCAAACCGGTGAGTTTGAAACAGCTGCGGCAGCAAACCAACAAATGTATAGGTTGATAAAGGTAGAACTTTCAACGCTTATGAAATAACCTTGTAACTACTAAAAACCAAACTACTTATTGTCACGCCATAAAGTAGAGCTTACAGCTTATTCGACAGCATACTGTTATTTACTGCTATGGGACTATAGCTACTTGAAGGTTTTCAGTATACTGTAAAATTTACACCCTTGCGAAAATTTAGCTTGAACATTAATGTTGTCTGGAAAAATTATCATATTCAGTCTCATGGTCGTTGAGTGGGGAAACATTTATACTTCGGACTAGAAAATGTCAGCATTTTGTTATCGTGCTATAAAATTTTATTAATATTTGTCCTTCAAGATCTTATTGGAACATAGGGTTTCAGTCGTACATCTCCACTGCACTCTGTTCTCTGCAGTATTTCCAACGTGCACTCACGCATTCACTCAAGCTTTCATTTCTTCCTCACATGATGTTCTACACGTCACACTCGACTCAGACACCCAACTCGTAGTTTCCTTTTGGGTTTCACTTCAAAATCCGGATCTTGCTCATGCCTTATGCTGAGTGCAGTACAGCATATCTCCACACTGGATCAAGTTAATGAAGGCCTGTCTTGATTTTCCGATCATGGCTGATTTGATGTCATCATCTGTGCCACCGCTTGTAGTTGAAACAATGCTGAGCCTCGTCTAGGTAGGTGAAAGAGACTACTTTCTTCAGCTTCCTCCCGTTGGTGGTGATTAGTGTTTGTCGTTGTTGATTGGGACATCTTCATCATCTCTCTCTTCTCTACGCTCACTCGAAGTCCCGTCTTCGCTGCCTCACCTCTTCTGTCAACTTGTTGATTCGAGTTTCTGCGACATTAGACATAAGTCATCGTCGGTGGCAAAATCCAAATCTTCTAGGGTGTTTTCATCGGTCCAGTCAACGTATGCCCATCCTCTCGCTCCTCATGGTTTGTTGCATGATTCAATCCAGTTCACCACAATCACGAAGATCATCGGTGATGGTAGGCAGCCTTGTCTTACTCCTGTCTGTCTTCACTTCAAACGTGTCACTGAGCTTTCCATTGTGAATCAATTGGCACGTAGCATCATACAGCATAGCATATAGCTGTGGAATGAGGTTGATAAAGATTTGTGGCAGTGAGACCGTAGTGTTGAAGCAGCTGCCTGTCAAATTACATCTCGGTCGACACTGTGGAAGACCTTTTCAAAGTGGATGAAGTTGGGGTGGAGAGTTGACTGCTCCGTGATGATACGTAGCATACCGTTGCAATTTGATCCACACATGATTTGTTCTTCCTGAATCCAGCCAGCCAGTCAACCAGCCTGCTTCAGTCGTAATTTTGAATCCAGAGCATTTTTTAGTCTCTCTCTCCAGGATGATGCGGCTCAATATGTGGCTTGAGGTGGGCAGAGACAGGAGGATGATTCCGCGCCAATTCCTGCAAACACTTAGGTCACACTTCTTTGCGATTTTCATAAGGTAGCTCTTCTTCCAATCAATGGGCGGATACCTTCCCTTCCTCCATTGCAAAACCTCTGCAATAGTGGTGTGAGCACGTACTCTGTTGTCTCTGCATCCACCTGAAGTGCTTCTGGAGGGATTCAATCCAGTCCTACTGCCTTCCCGGATTTCAACAGCTTTGTCACGTTCAGGACTTCACTTCAGCTTCGTCGGAGGGCTTGTGTTCACTGGTGGATCTGTGGTTGTTAGTGGTATTTGTGAACGAGTTGCAGGTGGTGGTGGTGGTGGTCGATTGAAGAGTTTTTTGAAGTGGTCAGCTCATCGTTTCCCTTGTTTCTCATCTTTGCTATCTGAGTTCCCCTCACTATCTTTCATTGCTTTCATCTGAGTTGATGTCTTCCCTCCCAGATAGTAACCTGGTTATCAGGTCTCTCCCACCTGCAGCCTGTTCTGCTTCACTAGCCAATGTGTTGTAGAAGTGTGTTTTGTCTTTGCGCTCACTCCTCTTCACTTCTTTATCCAGTGTAGTGTTTCGTGGGTTGTGTTCAGTTCCCCTTTTCGCTGTTCATCCTTGCACTGGTTCATCTTCTGCTTCACCGTCTTCCTCTCCCTCCTCTATCACCTTCAATGTGTCCATCGAGATCCACTCCATGTCTTGCTTCTCCTTCTTCCTTCCTAACACGATTATGCAGGTCTCCTTCCACGTCTCTTTAAGAGAGTTCCAGTGTTCTCCCACCTAGGTTTCTTCACCGATGTTGCTTAATGTCTCCCACTTTGTCCTGATGACTGACTGACTGGCTGACTGATGCAAAGATCTCCTTCGTAGTTTCATCCTTCAGATTCTATCCTCAGTATTGTACTTGAAAAGTGGTCTATCACCTGCAAACAGTTCGCCATTCTCATTCATTTCACTGAGTGATTCTCCACCCATGATCAGTTCTCTTCCTGTGTTGTCCGCTCCTACTTTCGCACTCATATCACCCCACCCATTAGAGTTTCGATGTGGCCAACTGGGGTCTTGTCCAGTACTGCATTATTTGTAGCTGCACAGCATTGGCATACTGTGATTGTGACTTTCCTTCCACTTGAGTTGAATCTTGCTGTCATGATCCTGATGCTGGAGGATCAGATCGGCTCTCACTGCATAAGAGAGAGCCTTCGATGCTGTTGGGAACATCATGATAGCCACTCGAAAACTCAGTGTGCCATGCTCATGGTTGTCGTCTGGATGACAACATCGGTGTAGATTGTTGACTCTGCAGTTGACAGTTTGGAGAGTCCACCTCCATTCCATCTTCAGATTCCTCACAGACTCCTGGCCTGGCACTTCAATGCTCTACCTTCACCTTCTCATCTCTTTGGCAATCCGGGTAGTCTTGCTAGGTTCACACACGGTGCGGACATTCCATGTCCTCAATCCTAATTTTACTTTCATCGAGAGAGGAGGAGGTACATCGGCCGACTGGCTTGCCGAAGGCTTTCACCAACCGGTGTCATTTTGCCCCTCTGATTCCAGCAAGGAATAAGTTTAATTCTATTTCTTATATTTTGTTTGTGCTTTGAAGTTTCATTAGCGGTTGGATTGGTTTTCGGGGTTGGGTTGCTAGTCGTATGCCCAACCTTCCCTCTTCATCCGGGCTTAGGACTAGCTAGTAACAATTGAACTAGTTAACTAGTCGAGGTTTATGTTGTTGTATGAGCTGAGTATATTTATAACTCTAAGAAACTAAGAAACATGCACTTATTTGCTCTAAATTAGAGTCTAGTCTGTTTTGTTCCTATTGGTAAAACTGCTTTGGAGATGGGTAAATCATTCGGAAATAACAAGATAGATGAAACTAGTTGTCGGTAATGTCATGATGATAACTGAGAAATTTCGGCAAGCAATCAAACTACCCAAGGTAGTTCCATGAACCAAACTTCCGCTCACTCGTAGCAGTTTGAACCGTATACTTTGTCATTTCAAAAACGCATTTCAACTTTGGATTTTAGGTTAACAATGTTGGACAGCCTACATGATGAACTCTATGTCAAGTACTGATTTTCGGCTGTGTTCACAGCCTGCAAGTGAAAACCTCCAAACGATATGAGAATTGACTTGGGAAGTACCTTACGATTTTATGCAATCTACTGAGAAACAAATATGCAGTCGTCATGGAATGAAGTTGAATAAAGTTGAAAGTGAAGTATCATTTCTGGGACCTGAGTTTGTGTCCCAAATGCGGTTTTCTGTAAGACGTGTAGAAAAAGCTTGAGTATCTGTATAATCAACTTTCTGATTTGAAACGTACAGATGCAAATGTAGGCAGTTGGTTTAGATCTAAATGGTTCAGAATAAAACCCTGAAAAAAACTTCATCCCTTCGGGCCAGGTTTGTCATTTAATAGAAGTGAGACATTCACAGAGGAATAAAAAGATCTTCATACATGGACTAGATAAAACTGATGATCCCACTATATTTAGCTGACGTAATGCTTTTCACAAGGTATCAGTGCCTTTAAGTTAAATGTTGAGACTTCAGGTTCACCATGATAAAAATAACATGGGAAAAACGGTTTTTGACAGTAAATAAGATTTACAGATCTGTAATTAATTATTTACAATGCAAGTGCTTGATGTTGATTAAATGAACCAGGATCTAATGACATGTATCTGCCCATACTTACTTTGATTAATTTTAGAAACACCACTGTACCATTCCATTCCATCACAGTGCCCAAGTTTTACACTTGCATTAATTTCAGGGATCCTAACATAATTCGCTGCTGCATGATAGACTAACTGGTCAGAGTTATTTTACCGGTGGATGATCATTGAATCTTTTTCATTAAATCATCACCAAACAGTTGCAATCAAAATAGCTCATCACATATTCCATACATACCCTGCGGAGAGAGACTGGAAGTGGCTGGGATTAAATCTCACCTAAGAAAGTTTTATTCAGGAAATAATGTTTCACCTATTATTACTGGTGAAAAAGAACTTATACGACATACTCTACCACTCTATAAAAGCTCATCCTTATGTTCGAAATTGAAACTTGGCAAGTATAAAGTGGAATAATAATTTTCTATTGGATATTCATTTGAGTTCATCCAAAAAACTTTTGGTTTGCAATTACATAGTGTAATTAGGCAGTTTCAAATACAATTCTAATAAATGTCAGAAAACGCTAATTCCTTATTCACCCTTTTACACTTAACTTCACCAGTTACCTGTATTCTATCACGCTATTGAAAAGTATCAATTTGTTTTTTTAATTTGTTGTTTTCTGTTCCTCATTATCTAGTATTATTCATTAACATGTTTAGGAGAATGAATGAGTTAATTGGTCGCTTTTACATAACAACATTTGGCATAACTAAACTTTAAGCTTATCTACTGACTAAATGGTCAACGAGCCAAACTGACCAGTCGGCATAACTGTTACACTTGCTACTAAGGGTTAATTGCACAAATTAATTGATTGCACGTCTTACAAGGGCGGTTTGAAAGGGTGAATTAGCTTGAGAAAAAGAAGTTAATGTATTCACTACTTTTATACTAAAGAAATCAAACTTCCTAGATGTACCAGCAAGCTGAAGTCTGGTTAGAAAAAAAGAATGAGTTCTTCAAAAAAACAATAAAAACTAGAAGGGAATAAACACTCGATTTATCGGTAAAACAGTTTTACAGAAGTGAAGTATCGCGTATTTGTATTTCTATTTGCTCATTGTACTTCCTTACAATAAAATATGCAGCTCTTACTTATCGAAAACTTATAAGGGATGCTGAAAGTGAACTAAAGTCTAACGTCATGAAGTAAATATTGTTAACGTTGTTGAGAATACGTTTTCAAACTTATTCTGCTGTGGTTGCTTAGACTTAAATGAATGTTTAAAATTTAACTAACTAATTTTTAGAATGCTTATCTGTAGCTTGATGCATCGTCTAGCAATATAAAAAAACTAAAACTTATTTAGCAGCATACTACCACCCGTCTAAAATGTATTGAAGTTAAATAAATTTCTGGTCAGCAATCGTGTCTTGTAGCTCACTTGGTCTAATACCCGGCTAGAAAACCGGTGGTTGCTGGTTCGAATCCTGTCGCGGCCCAAATTTTCATTCCACTTTCAATCACCATACAGTATCAACATAACATTAGTCTTTAAGTATGCAACGAATACAAGTGCTTACAATTTCAGGTTTTCAAAAATGTAGTGCAATATGCATGGTGCATTCTGTGTGCACACAGTGATTCTATTTAAAGATAAAAGAATATTTCAGACTATACCTTGTAATAAAGCGGAAAAGAATTAATTGTTAATACGCCACGCCTACTTAGTGGTATACTTTGAACTACTAGACCACTTAGTTTGTTGGATGTTGTGTCACAAAAAAATAAAACTTAATATCTTAACAATTAGCTGAAGGTTTAGAATTCATCTAATCTTTTCTCTGAAACCGAAGTTAGCAAGTTAAGAAATACTCAAAAGAAAGAAAATATCAAGGTGTAATCCGATAGATTTACATGCCGAACCGGAAAATAAGAAAGGCAGAAGTGTATAAAAAGTAGGTATTTAGGCAGTTTGTTTGTAGGCACATAATTTTTATCCCATTTAAGAAAAGAGAATAACTTAGTGCACCGCGCAAAATATTATGAGAAACATGTTTAAAAATATGAATACTGATTTACTCTGTAGTTAAACCTGTACATTTCTACGTTATACTTATACGTAGTCATTCACATGCAATAAGAAACTGAACTTACCTAAATATTAACTCAGACTTGTATAGTCAACTTGAAAAAACTTGTTCCATTCATTACTGTACAGTTTATTTCGAGGAAAGTTCAATCTCGAACTGTCTAAATTATTGTTTATCTTACATTTGTACGTTAAAATAATCTGAAGTTAATCTTTAAACCAAATGGAGCTTTTGTATAGTTAATTTGTAATCACTGAGCTGGAACTGTCTACTTAACTTGCTGCTGCTTTTCAGACTCTTGTCCACATAAGAATCATCTTTGTATACAGTAGCACAATAACAGTAATTACAACGAATAACTTTTTAAGTGACAATGAAATTACACGGCAGCATACGACATTAAAAAGTACTGTGGTAAAAATTACTTATGTAACTTTTTGAATTCACAGAGAAATGCTATCTGTGAGTGCCTATTACATAAGGTAGGTTTGAAAAAGAAACAGTGCCTCAATACTAAAAAATGATCTTTTCAAAATAAATATCAGGTTTTTCTAACTCAGCATCTCAGAATCTGTGCACCATGAAAACGGATGTCTAAACTACTGGTGCTGAAGTTCTGAAAAAAGAAGTGAAACTTCCTACACTTTATATTTTAGAGAATCTCATGAAGGGAAGCACATTAAAAGCCAGCACCAGAAAAGCTGTTGTGTTCGCGGTTTAATTTATTGCGATAAATTGCAAATACACAGGCAAGCACCTGTCACAAGGAGTCTGAAGGGTTCCCTTTACTGTTGATAATAAAAAAGCAGCTGGCTGATTGTCAACCAGTGGATCTGAAGTAAAACTATCACTTCTGCTTACATTGACAATGAAAGGCAGGTACTATTACAAACCGCTTAAAGTAGGTGAGGCCTACAACCTTGCATAAAACATCTTGAAGCAGATGAATTACATATCAGTACTAGTAGACTGAACAATTTTGATAGATGTTGGCATACTGATTCCATTCCACTGTATAGCAGTAATATGAACTTAAGGAAATGTCGGACTCCAGACAAAGTAGTAAAACGACAGCAGTTTCGCCAAAAACTAGCTGTCTTTACTACATATTGACTTACGAAGTAAATTTTACCAATTTGTCTAATTCTAGAAAAACAACCAAATATTACAAAATAAAATGTTAACAGTAAAGACAATGGCATCAACTAACCTGTTTCAGGTAAAACATTAACTCCTGTAATTTGACAACAGATAGGAAGCGGCGAGTTAATCAGTGAAACTGATGACTGTGCAAATGTGCCGCTTAACTCAAGGTTTATATCACCTTTTTCTTGGTTGTTTGTTGATTGACTGGGATTCTTTGCAATGTCACTGCAAACAAATTTGTTCTCGTGTAAATCTGTTTGTTTCCGATCAGTACAAAAGTCCCCCGACAGTGTTTTCTAATAAGAATTCAAACAATAAATGAGAAACTGAACGTCTAAGGACAATTCTGATTAACTTTCTCGTCACAAAATGTTATAATAATTTCAGTCATCTAATTTTACGACCATTCAAAACTGCCATTATCACCAGACGGCCAGAATATTTCTCTCTCTCTCTCGAAATAATATTACAACTAACCAGTAAACTTCATCATATCGGTTGCTGGTGTGCATAAACTCATACATAAACATACATAAATGCACAGTAAACTGATGGCTCACCAACATCTGCACTATCATATTTAAAGGGTCATTTTGAAGGTTTAGTGTTAGCTTAATCGATTGGAAATAATGACAAATCAGATTTTACAATTTAATAAATTATGCAGGTTAATGAAGTTCATTATTCAAGTATGTGGGTTATTAAGAACATTCAAGCTGGTTAACTTCATACAACTCTATTGCACTTCTTGAGAGACCTTTCGGAAATTATTTCTGCTGACATAATTATGTGGACTCGTACAATCATGTGCATGCAACTATACTAACTTGTTCGTATTTCATAAACAAGAACCTTGGAGTTATGCAAACACATGTTGAGAAACAAAACCGGGTATAAAAGGTAAAACGTTAGTTTTCTAAAAGGAGACAGACAGGCACGTTTTCAAGAAGTAAATCAGCACGAGTCAAAATATTGTCTGCACTGATAATTGTATGTATATATTGACTTCAGGTTGATTTTCATTACTGACAGACAGCATTTGAAGGATCGAATATATATATATATATATATATATATATATATATATATATATATATATATATATATATAAGACTTGAAAACAGTTATTCTCAGTACTGCTGATAAGTTCCAAACTAAAATAATAGGTTATCGTTGTGAATATCTAAAATAGTCGTGGTTGGCAGACTCTTATTATTGACGTTGGATGATGACTGAAGGTGGAATAAAAATTTTGGTCGCGACAGAATTCAAACCATCGGCCAGGTGCTTGACCAACTGAGTTACGAGACCCAGCTACCGATCAGATCTTAATTTCGTCTGAGTGATGAGACAGTGCTGCCATTCAGAATGAACAGCTACGTTCCATGGCCTTACATAGCAGCGAGGCGAAATTCTGGATGGCTGAAGTGAAATTAAGACCTGGTCAGCAGCTGAGCCTTGTAATTTAGTTCGTAGAACATTTACACTGTAACTCGGACGCCGCTGGTTTCAATCCTGCTGCAACCCAGTAATCCAGTTCACCTCCAGCCATTTTTTATGCCGATAGAAAGGAGGAACATAGTTCTCTAAAGTTTCCAGTTGCTCCACCTAAAGTCAGTCTGCGACAAAAATTGTTTTTAGACCAATCAATCCTTGAAACAATCTACTGTTTAACTAACCTCTTATTAGAGTATCAGAAGCTATTGTAAAATTCTTCAAGCCTATTTACTTTTGAGGCCTATTAAGCATTTACGTGACAGAATAGTAAAAGCTTGTAATACGTTTACCGAAGAAAGTATATGTTGTAAGCTTGTATTCTAATTACTTAGGCTTTCTTGGAAGAAAGATATCATTATTCATAAATGCCCAGCAGTACAGTTGCTAGACTATCTTGACTAGTAGATTGCAGTGGGTCTATGAAATCAGACGGTATTTTAAGTGAACATTTAATCCAATCAAAATGTATTTTGTTATCAAAAACTCCAGTTGAACTTCTACACATTATAAAAGATAGTCAAAATATTAGTACTAGGCAAAATGGAGCCAGAAAATAAGCTAAAACAATTCAAATATCAAACTGACACTGAAGTACTGAAAGGGAATCGATTGTTCAAGTCACGGAAAAAGGGACTGAAAAGAGTGACTTTCTTGATTCTCGTTGACCCCAACTAATGAAAAACTCCTCATGCCTCGCATAAAATGATCGGTTTCGTCTGCTTTTAAAAACAAATTGGTAACTGTTAACTGGCTCAAACATTCGTTATACTTTTAGGTTCAGAAACAATGTACTTAAATGTAGTCATCAGTAGTAAGTATTACCCAGCCTAGTTGTTATTATATTCATCAGAGAAACAGATGATGAATCAGTATGTCATTCCTTAAAGAGGTGGAAAATTTACAAGTGAAATATCATGAGGCACTATACTGTAACAAGCAAAGTTAAAAATATGACAACATTTCAGTTAAGATGAAGAGCTGTTCTGCAGTAATTTATCTGAAGACTTGCAGTTGCACAATAATCTGACTACTTAGTAAAAGGACACGACTGTAAAATGTTAGCTAGTCTATGGGTATCATACATGATCTTTTTTCCCTCTTTCCAATCGATGAATTTACTAATATTCAGGAGACTAGATAAATCAACACGCAATAACCTTCAGGGAATCAGCCAAACGAACGCAGTTTCTAATTTTCTAGGTTCTATAATTATTGGAAATCTACACGGTAGTTAACATTAAACGCGAGAAAACCCGAAAGGTTTTAGACTTTACTGTAGGTCGACTGTTCAGTGATTCACTCTGTGCCAGGTTCTGGAACATAGATGCACCCATCGACACCACACATTAGCTGTATTTCTTGATATTAGACTCCATCGATCGGGATGTCTCGTGGTGATGTCTCTCAGTGGGAGAGTTGTAAGGTATCTACATCATAATATTGAAAGCCTTGTGTTGCAACACTCGTGAATGTGTCAGAGCTTATGGTAAGGTAAAAGGCGGTATGTGTTAAGAATGGCCAGTCTTTCCATCTTCACTTAATTTTGTCATGGACGTATTAATAGTGGTGTGGCAGTTCGAATCAATACATAGTAGTACCAGATCCCATGTTGATAACAACTAACTGACTGGACGACATTTCTAGCACTAGCTATTTCTCATAATTGCACAGGTGTGTGTGGAACACTTTATTCCACTTTAAATAACAAAAAACCAATATCTATTCGTCCCTGAAAAACGAAAAGAGATTACAGTGGAAATAATAAGGTTGAGCAAATAGTCATAATTCGGTCCTGATGCATGTGTCGCAAACACAGCGCACATCCCTGGCACCAGAGACTCTGAGTTTTGGCTAGCGAAGCTTGTTGTCATATCTGACGGAAGATGTGGACATTGAAAGATACGATATATTTTTGAAAGTGGTTTTGTGAGACCAAGGATGTTGTTCCTCCAACTCAAATTGTTATCAACAGCTGCAGAGCTATAACGAATTAATGATGATATAGGAATGTAGGCCTAGAGACATGAAGGAAGATTAGAAGGTAAGGTTGTGGATGGTGGATAATGATCTAGAAATCTTGAGTCCTGATGGAGTTGTGGAGGTGGATGACACTTCCCGGCCGATCCCATCAGTAAAGGTTATTTTTTCTTGAGCTAACAAGAAGAAAGGGTTTGTGCCCAAGAGCCGAGCGGACATCTGGTTGAGGTTGGTCACATACAGCCAGTTTGGAAAATTTAGGTCTAGTTTGTTTTCATCGAAACCTTTAAGTAACGAAAATTCCCCATAGAGTCATAGAAAGACAAAAAGCAGCTGAGGTGAAGATAATTACCTTTTCGGAAAGAAATGGAGACGGGATGAAATTATATTACACAACACAAGAACCGTTTTCTAAAATTTAATAAACAGCACCTAACAGTAAGATTTCGCATTTAGTAAAAATAAATAAAATACAAAAATAAAACAAGTAGATGTGCAGAGCAGCTGTTTTACACCACTAGAAAAGTGTTTGTACTTGTTTCTTTTAAATACACAATCGAGACTTGGAGATGTGGATCACCAAAGCTTCTGCCGTACATAAATTACAAATCCTCAATCCTTTGGGGCGGTTTGCTGGAACATTGTGGATAACTTTGGACGAGATTTCTGGAGCAACAGGATATTTAGAGTCTTCGAGGTATTTAACGATGCAACAAGAGGGGACCTATTACTCAACTTTCGTCAACAAAGTTGAACAATATTTTCGACTGCGTTTAGTCAGCGATGTATTCAGTCCAACAGAAGCAAGTGAACCTGTAAGTGCAAACTGATTGGGTCCAATGCGTCAACCTGTCTCTATCTAGGTGATAAATAAACTATCGACATGAGAATACGCAGGTTTACAGCAAACAGTGTCTCACTAATAGACTTTCAAAGCGTTGATGAATGTTGTCTGCTCCAACATCATCTTATGATCCAAGGTTCATTTCTTCATGCCGAACCGGATTAATTCCATCGTCTTCTTTCCTCGCAAATTATTCTCCAAAAATCTGCATGGATAGCTATCCTTTAACAGCGCTTCTTGGAGGGTCTCTGATTCTTGAATAAGTGTATCACCGGTGTGTATCTTTTTATTTTTGAAAAGAGTGAGTTCAAAAGATTTCTCTTCCTATTTGAAGGTATTCGGCTTTGAAAACTTGTCAGTTACCCGTTTCTAGTGAGATTCATACAGATGTGGTTTTGAATGAAATTATCCAGTCTTCTTTCAAGTTTGACGTCCAGTGTAAGTCTGACTGAAGAATGGCTATCGTTGGAATCTTGAACAGGCATGTCATGTCTGAGTTGTCATTACAAACAGTGAAAGTGTCATCCATTTGTCTTATGTATGCATGAAGCTGATCGAATATCCGAAGCAGTGAATTAATTTAGAACATATCGTAACCAGTAATAGACTGGATGGTTTGGAAAAACTTGTATAAGGTGTATTTTGTATGTCATTCCGGTGTAGTATATTAGAACAAATAAAATACACAAATATTTTGTTATTTGTTATAATATACGACGCCGAGATAACAAGTAAAATGCATTTGATACGATGACAGTATCATTCCTAATTGTAGCCACATAGCAACCAGAAAGGAGAGGTCAAAGAGGCAATCCCACTGTTGTACCATGAAGCTATCTATAAAGTTGGTTTAGAGATTTTAGAAGTTCTTTCAGGTAGCAGTTTAACAGGCTTATTTCTAGATTTCTGGAGCACTTGAAGTCCCACGAAAAACAGACTGCTTCCACTGGCAGCATGTATGTGAATAATGACACGATG